GGTGGTTGGAAGTCATAATTTAAAGAAACTCGCATAATCTCGCATAATTTAGCTACCGTAAATATACAAGACCCTGCATGACAAATAATGTAGATCAATTTTTAAAATAGTATTTATACATCAAGTGATGCGGAATGCACGTGATTTAATTTTTTTTCAATTGAAAAAATTGCATCACACGGGTCTTGTATATGGCGATTTACGGGTATTCTCATATATAAAAAAATTTCTATTGGCCAATTGCTGTTACACAGATTAAGTTACACAGAATGTGTTATCAAGTCGGCCTATATATACCCTAACACTGGCTAACTCCAAGTAGGATCATATGAATAATGCTGACTAAACTATCATAGTATTTACACTTTAAAATTAATAGATCTGAATATAGTAACAATTATTGATTATACCAGAACTTTTATAGCATTGGTATAACTATTATATGCCAACATACTACGTATTGGTTATTCAATGTAAGTTACGTACATACTTGTAATTTTTGACATGGGAAAATTAAAAAAACTAAAAATTTTTAGTAAAAATTTTATGCTTTTAGATTAGGGAAAAAACTTGCAATTAGATTAGAGTTCAAAAATATTATTTATATAATAAATTTTACAACACTTAAATCAGTTTTATAGACTAATTTTTTGGTTATGAGGCAAGACCAATTTGATTCTGTGTTTTACATTATCTCTTCACCTTCCTTCTAATAAATTTTATATATGATATGGTCAATTTCCCCTCTCCAAGAGGGAGAGGAGGTAATTTAAAACACAGAACCAAGTTGGTCTCGGCTAAACATTTGTCTTGCATTATAGCTGGTCTTGAAATTTGGTTGGTTAGCAAAACTTTTTAACTCTAATTCTGGGGTCTGCATAATTTGCATAATTTACGATTTGCCACACGCATAATTTTGCAATTACCGGTGCATAATTCTGAACACTCTAACCGGAAAGTCTACGAACACGTACCTGTCGCATGATATACCAAAATAATAGTTTTTTTTTGATTTATAAGTGATCTGATAAGGCTTCTATACTAAGTTAATCTTTTTATTATTCTAATAAAGCATGTTCTACTGACCTTTCCGGTTCTAATGGTGGTAAGATTATTAAAATCTGTTCAGTAAAACTGGAAATCCGACCTTTCAAAATTTGGGCAATACTATAAAGATTATGTGCATAAACTTCATGAGTCCATATCTCTGGTTTTACTGATAAAAGAGATTAACTTAGTTCGAAAGTCTTCCGGGTCACCTTTTTCTTATTTTTTTTTTCTTTTTTGAAATTAAAAAGTGATTCGACTAAGCTTTTATAATAGGTTAAATACTATTTATCACCCTATAAAAACTTGTTCACCTGGTTTTTCTGGTTCTAATGGTGATGAGAATATTAAAATCAACTCAATAGAATCGGAATATAGCCTCATGAAATTTATATGATGTTTTTATATAATCTTAATGACGTTGCTCAAATTTCGAAAGCCTATATCTCCGGTTCTACTGATCAGGTTTTAACAATCTCACCACAATTAGAACTGGAAAGACCAGGAAAACAAATTTTGAGTAATAAAAAAGATTAACTTAATACAGAAGCCTTGTCAGATTGTTTTTAAATAAACTATTATTTTGGTATGTGTCCGTAGACTAAACTAGTGATTTAAGCCAGCTATGGCAGCCGCGGCTAAGCTGGCTTACCATATTTGCATATAATAACGCATATAGGCGTTATTTTGAAACAGCCATTTTTTCAAAAAATGTTTATTTGGCTCAAAATAACACCCACGTGCATCCTAAAATAACGTGCCCCTCTTAATATACATACTATACACTCTTATAATAAATTTGATATTAGTACAAACTAAATGGTCGAAAAGTATTGACTATGTAATAACATGTATTTATAAATCAAATACTAATTTTATATACAGTTAGTAATGACCATTATATCATTTTATGTAAATTATATTATTTTACCATATTCTTATTTTTTTACTATTGCTATTACTATGTATTCTGCCTTCTTTTGCTACTAGTTTTAATATATTTCTAACTTGGTTTATAGTATAAGGTGATTAAATGATCAAGAAAAATAGTATATAATGCGATTTTTTAAAGCATGTTTAGTACCCAGGTATTTTTTATTTCCAAGTGCAATTAATCTGTCTTTAGTACCCGGGTACTTTATATTCTAGACCTTTGAAAATCAAAATGCATATTATAAAAGGGTTTTTTAGTCCATGCTTTACAATAGCTTAAAATTTACATGGATCAATTTATTTCTATTAAGAACTATATATCTTTATTAAATTTTATAGTTTCACATATTTTATTTATATAATCATGAAAAATAATAAACTTTATTTATATATAGTATTTAACCAAAATAATTTTTACCTAAATATATAGACTAAAATAACTATAATCTGTAAAAAGTATAAAATATTTTTTAAAAAAATGTTAGTGTTATATTAATTAAATTTGCACACCTATTTATTTTTATTCGTCAAACTCATTGTGAGTTATTTCTTCATTGCTAAATTCATTATCGGTTTTTTTGTTTAATTCATCGTTGACTTTCTCATCAAATTTATCATCGCTAATTTTTTTATTGAATTCATTATCACTAACTTCATCAAATTTATCAACACTAATTTCTTTCATAATTATCTTCACAATCCGATTCATCTGCTATTCGTTCTTTCTCACTTGATTCTTCTAAAAGTACATCATCTATATACTATTGCTTGAAGCTAACTTGATATTCTGTCATTCTTACTTCCATTAGGATTTAGCGTAAGGCCAGAAGCTTCAAAAGATTTGATTAAAATTTCAGAACTAATTTCCTTCCATACTTCTGACACCCACTTACAAACTAGTTCATATAATGCCTTCTTGTGATTTTCATGTTTTGTAAACTCTTTTTCTCCATTACTAATCCACTCATCCCATTTTCTTCTGATTTTATTTTTGAAAGGTTTATTTACAGAGACATCAGGTGGTTGTAAGACACTAGCTGTTCCACCAGGAATTTTTTTTACTTCTAAACCTTTGGTATTAAATGCTTTAATTACGTCATTACATATATGACTTCCATGACAATCAACGAATATAATATTTTAGGTGTTATAAGTCAGAGCAAAAATATCAATTAGTTGGCTAAATATTTTTAAAAAATTGATTGTAAATTTATTATTGTTAACTAAACGATTAAATAATTAATCAATTAACCAATCAATTGGTTAATCGATTAATTGAGATCTTATCAACTCACTGTCATTTACTTTATAGACACCACATTTCACTGACAATAACTTACCGACAAGTTCATTTACTGACAGTTTATTTCACTGAAGCTCATTATACAGACAAAGTAATTCTAGTTAATATTATTAGAGTTAGGTTAGAACTAGAGTTAAAGTTAGTGTAATTTATAGAAAAAACTTGTTAGTGAAATAAGCTTCAGTAAAATAGACTGTCGGTAAATGAACTTGTCAATAAATAATTGTCTGTGAAATGTGGTGCCTATAAGGTAATTGTCAAGCAATACAGACCCAATTAATTAGTTAACAATAATTAATTAATAGTTGAGTTATTAACTTAGTCAAAAATAATTAATTAGTTTTCAATCTATATTATTAATACCTTTATTTTTAAAAAAACCATTTGGTCTTGCTTTGATAACTTTTGGAATATATGCTGAAAGCATTAAATCTCCATGCATAGTTCCACTAGGCATAAAAGCTACAACCACATCCCTTGGAAAGTTTCTTTTAGGTACTTTTTATCCCTTAGATTGTAACACAGGCAAATTTGCCTGCGTATTTTAAAATTTTTAATAAAATTTTAAATATTGATTT